AGAGGAAGACCACATAGACCTGCATTCCCTTCAAATGATGTCTCAGCTTGTCCACTAAACTGTGGTCCTTGTGGTATTTCACCATTGAGTTGGTTATGAGCCACACTTATATACGCCAAAAACGAGAGGCTCCCGAGTTCTCTAGGAATAGTCCCTGATAGTTGGTTTCTTGACAGGTCTAGTGACTCAAGCTCTGTAACATTTGCTAAAGACAGAGGAATATGGCCTGTGAAGGCGTTGTTTGATAAGTTGAGCGCAATCAAATCCTTCAAGAGACCGATTGATTCAGGAATATTTCCTTCGAGTTTGTTTCCAGAGAAATCAATGGTGTTGTATGAAGTAAGGACCTTCCCTTGCTCCATGAATAGACCTTTGTATTGCAAATCCATAGTATCTTCATAGACATAATAAGCATGCTTGTAGTCTCCCATATAAATTCTCCCATCTTCATCTATCTTGAGTGATGATGATGCTTTCCAGTTAACAAAGAAACTTGGTGGCAAGCTTCCAGTAAAGCTGTTATCAGATAACTCAAGTATACGCAGCTCAGGAAATGCAAGAGGACCTTGATCTGGAGGAGAAAGATGCCCAAAGAATCTGTTTGAACGGAGCGTAAAGACTTGCAAGTTTGGTAAAGCTTTGAGCCAAAAAGGAAACGTGTCTTCGATTCTGTTGTTGTCAACACTTAAAAACCTCAGAAAGGAGCAGTTTAAAAGTGATCTTGGAAGCTTCCCGGTTAGTCTATTGTAGCCAACATCAAGTGTCTGTGTCACAGCGCCGATATAGAACTCATCAGGTATACTTCCTTCCAAGCTGTTCTTCCTGAGATTCACTATCTTTATGTTACTCAAACACTGAGGTATTGGACCGGTGAGTTTATTGTAGGAGAGATCAAGAACAGTGAGAGAGCTTCGGTTGCAAACTTCAAGAGGTATGTCTCCTGTGAAGCTATTGTTCCACGCTGACAAGTAGATGATATTAGGTGGTGGAATAGGAAACTCTCCAGTCATGGAGTTATATGCAATATCTAGTAACTGCACTGATGAATTAAGAAAAATATCTGAAGAAGAACCTTCAAAACAGGTGAAAGAATTGTTCACAAGATTCACTAGGCTGAGATGAGGAAGTTTCCAGAGCCATTCAGGGACTTTTCCTTTGATTCTGTTGCTGGAAATGTCTACATGTTGTAACTTGTGAAGTGTCTTTAAGATGTTTGGGAACTCGGTTATGTCACACCGTGGCATGACCAAGCTTTCTAAGCTCAATGGGATGTCTGAAGAATTTAGACTTGATGGTAATAGCTTGTTTCTAGAAAGATGAAGCACCAACAAAGATTTGAGAGGAGAGAAGATGGTTAAGTCTAATGGGTAGCTTGTGTTTAAAGAAGAAACGTCAAGATGGTTGAGGTTGATGAGCTTTGAGATAGGTTTAAGGATTTTCCCTTCAAATTGGTTTTGGCCGAGGGATAAATACACTAGCCTAGAAGAAGAGTTTGGAACTTCTATTGTACCAGCGAGACTATTCTTTTTCAAATCAAGATGAGACAAGAGGGGCATGGTGTGTAGTAAATCAGAAGGTATGGTTCCTGAGAATTGATTGTAAGAAAAGTCCAAGAACGAGAGTTTGGTGAGATTTTTCACAAGTGGGAAACTACCAGTGAGCTCATTGTGTGATAGGTTTAAATGGGTGAGAAATATTAAGTTACTAAATGAGGAAGGAAATTGACCAACAAAGCCATTAAAGGAAAGAGACAAAACCTCTAGTCTCTTGAGGTTGCTGAATTCAGAAGGGAGTGAAGAAGAAGTGAAGTTGTTGTGAGAGAGATTAAGGTAACGAAGGTGTTTGAAGGCAAAGAGAGTACTGTTGGGTTTGAGAGTTCCAGAGAAGCAGCCACTAGGGAGTTGTAGCTTTGTGACTTCACCAGTTGAGTTATCGCACTGGACTCCGTTGAGATAGTCACTGCGGTCGCAACCGTTGGATTCAAACTCGTTCTTGAATTGCATGAGAGCTTGGATCTGGTCGGGACGACAAGCAAGAGCAGTGATCATTAATACGTTTGAAGTGAAGACGATACAGTAGAGTAAGAGCATAGAGAGAAGATGTAAATGCAGATGCGGTTGGGACATGGTGTTTGAGATAGAAAAACGTTTATGGATAATTTGTACCAAAAAGAAACGTATAAATAGATTGGATATATAGTATTGTTATTTAAGCCGCCTATATCACTTTCATGATAAACTATATAGATTTCATTGAGCAATAATAATAAATGTATGGGTCTCTATGAAATTAATTCCACTTGTAATCGCTCTTTGATTCTGGCTAGACATCAAACTGTCTGTTCAGCTAACAGTTGACTCTGTTTTCATTGGATTTAAATCAGTTTGAATTAGAAGTACACGTTCACACTGATTTAGCTACAGTATAAATCAATGCTACTATATATTAGCAAAACGCATAATTCTGGATCAAACCGTTACGAAGTGGGTAATTAATCTGATGACGATGGCCGTCTTATTGGTGTTTTTGACTTTCAAATACACGAAAATAAATAAACAAGTGGGACTTCAATAATTCATCGTTTAGTGATATTTTATCTTATCACATTTATGAGTTTGTTACGTTACATAACCATGCATTAAATTTGTTGGAGGATTGGATAAGAGGACGACCGAATGAAATTTTTGTAAAGAAATATTATATAGTGACGTGGCAAATGGAGGAAAGGAAGGCCTATGAGACAAATCTTGGGCGTTATACAAAACAGGCCGATGAAGTATTAGTATAAGCCCGTATTAAGCCCAAATCAAAACTCAGGAAATATTTGGTTAGTCAACAACGTAAAACGACGCCGTGGAAAGTGTGTGTTGTTCTGACAAATAAAGCTTTTAGTTGCGGTCTCATTTCTGTTCTGTCGGGTCGAGAAGAAGAATACTCCGATCTGAGCTAGGGTTTCCTTTAATCATCATCAATCTCCGATCAAAATGGCAATGGCTGTTTTCCGTCGCGAAGGGAGGCGTCTCCTCCCTTCAATCGCCGCTCGCCCTATCGCTCCCATCTCATCTCCTCTCTCTGCTGATCGGTGAGATCTCTTTCAGATTCATACTTATTAACGATTGATATGTTACTGATTAGATGATGAGATTGAAACTGGAGTTTATTTTTGTAGGGATGAGGGAACTCTTGGAGTTCGATCTATCTCGACTCAAGTTGGTAAGTCTCAGGCTCTCAGCTTACAGTTTCTTAAAGTCTTAAAATACATTGTAATGTTCGTGAATTTGATTTAAATGTATACTCTTTGTAGTGCGTAACCGTATGAAGAGTGTGAAGAACATTCAGAAGATCACAAAGGCCATGAAGATGGTTGCTGCCTCTAAGCTTAGAGCTGTTCAAGGCCGAGCTGAGAACTCCCGTGGTCTTTGGCAGCCCTTTACTGCTCTTCTTGGAGATAATCCCAGTATGATTTCACAATCAATATTAGTTTTTTAATCATTTTATACTAGTTGATGATGACGTACAATCTCTTGGTTCTATCCTGTCTGGTTATTTTGGATGTGTTTATGATTTTTCGTGTGTACTTAATGATCCAAAACCAGGCATTGACGTGAAGAAGAGTGTGGTGGTTACTCTCTCTTCTGACAAGGGTCTCTGTGGTGGAATTAACTCCACTGTTGTTAAAGTGAGCAGGGCTCTCTACAAATTGAACGCTGGTATGTTTTTAAACCACTATTGAATCTTCATTGTTTTGTTTCCCTAAAAAATTATGGTACCTTATTAAACTTTTATTTCGACTGCAGGTCCTGAAAAGGACGTGAAGTTTGTTATTGTGGGAGAGAAAGCGAAAGCTATCATGTTTCGTGACTCAAAGAACGACATTTCCCTTACTGTCACAGAGCTGAACAAGAATCCACTCAACTATGCTCAGGTAAGAGCAGTACTTCCTCTCATCTAATTCACATGTTATCTACGTATTGTTTTTGTGAATGTTTTCTTATTTGTACTTATCTTGTTGCTTCAGGTCTCAGTTCTAGCTGATGACATCTTGAAAAACGTTGAGTTTGATGCTTTGCGCATCGTCTACAACAAGTTCCATTCCGTTGTCGCATTCCTACCAACTGTTGCCACTGTTTTGTCTCCTGAGGTATGTCTTCACAATTGTCAAATGACTCAATAGGATCTCACATTTTGCTTTAACGATAACATTTATATATTTATTCGTGTTTTTGCATTGAAAAGATTATTGAGAAGGAATCTGAAGTCGGAGGAAAACTTGGTGAGCTCGACTCATACGAGATTGAAGGTGGTGAAACAAAGGGAGAAATTCTACAGAATCTGGCCGAGTTCCAATTCTCTTGTGTGATGTTCAACGCGGTGCTGGAGAATGCGTGTAGTGAGATGGGAGCAAGGATGTCTGCAATGGACAGCTCAAGCAGAAACGCAGGAGAAATGCTTGACCGTCTCACCCTCACTTACAACAGGACTCGTCAAGCTTCTATCACAACTGAGCTTATCGAGATTATCTCTGGAGCTTCTGCACTTGAAGCTGCTAAATAAGCAAAGCACATTCTTGTTTTGCGTTCAACTTGTGGCTTTTGATATCTATCTATCCACCATAAAGGAGAAAGAGTGTGTGTTTTGAACTCTTAAGGGCTACTGAATTCAATTTCTTTTGCTGGCTTCTTGTTGCTAAGATGTTTCTTGCAATAAATTTCCCCTGTAATTTCCAGCAGGATACCGAATATTCACATTTTTTTTGCAATGATGAATGAAGAAACCAAGGAGGAAAAAATCAGAAGTAAGAATCAAGCTGCTATGCTTTTATTTTTGTTTCAAACTATACCGAATCAAAGCTATAATAAGAACTCTCTCTTCTTATCAGTTTCCTATCTTCTCAACACAAGCATGAAGCTTCTCTGTTCTATACAAAGTCTTTATGTCATCTTTCTATCTCTTATCTTTCTCTGTTTCTTTAGTCACTGGAAACTGTGGCAAAAACAAAGCTAGGGGTAGGTCTGGAGGAGAACTCTACAACCACCAGTAGAAACTCTGTCTACAGTTGTATCCCAGTCCATGTACACTTCTCCACCTATTGATTGCAAATAGTAGCTCCTGTCGTTATCTGGATATCGCTGGTCTATAGCATTGCGGATGTCTCTTATGGTTTGGTTTAATCTAAGAGGAAGCTCCAGCTCTGTCCCACGCCCATCTGCCAAGCTTATAGTCATCACAATAGTACTCGGCGCAGTTTGAGTCTCCACAGTTGTCCTGTCTCGGCTAGCACCCGCGCTTGAACCTTCCTCAACAGCCTTACCCTTTAAAGTCAAAATCAACAAAAATACTTTGAAGGTAAAAAAAAAGAGAAACGTTCGCAGTGTATGAAGAGTAATAGAATGCAAAACACCTTTATGTAAAGCTAAGACCAGAGGAAGAGTAAGGGGTTACATACATCCACTTGAGACGATGCCATCCCAGGAGGAATAGCCACTGTGACGTCCTCCTCAGGTGAACTTTGTATCTCCATGGGGAAACTTGAGTCTCTATGGTCAAAGAAAGAGTCGGTGGCTCGGCTTAGATTCCATTTATACTGTTCCAGGTATACATTTGCAACTTGTCTAGTCTCTCCAGTCGTCGAAGAGAATGAAGCAAGGAGCTCTTCCTTGACCTTTTTAAAAAAAAAAAAAAAAACAGAGAAGAGAAACTCAAAACAGCGTTTTTAACAATGAGACAAAAGCAAGCAACATGGTTACCACTAGTGGAGGAGGAAGAGAGAAAGGTTACTACATACAGCTTCAGAAGGTTGACCTAGACTGTAAACGTCATAGAAATATTTGACGGCGTTTTCTACAATCCCGTGGCAGTGGTTGAGGCAATCTAATATGGCTGTTGGAGACGCTTCAGAAGCAAACTCGTGGAATTCTTTGATACTTTCCTGTTTCAATTCAAACGGCGCCGTACTGCACACGTAAAAGCAAGTGGCCACAAGTAGATTCAGAAACGCAAAAAGAATAGGATAATAAACCCTAATTCAAGAACACAAAAAATACACTAAACCCTAAATCAAGAACATAAAGATACACTAAACCCTAAATCAAGAACACAAAGATACACTAATCCAATAACATAAAGATACACTTAACCCTAAATCAAGAACATAAAGATACACTAAACCCTAAATCAAGAACACAAAGATATACTCAACCCTAAATCAAGAACACAAACACAAGCTAAACCCTAAATCAAGAACACAAACACAAGCTAAACCCTAAATCAAGAAGACTACTATACGGGAAATGATGACCTAGCAGGAGTAGGAGGGCTCCCGATTCTGAGATCCGTATTATGAAAAGTCGGCACTTTACTCAAAACGTCCTGCATCACATCCGATCCTGATCCTTCCGGATACCACGTCTCAATATTACTAGTAATAGGAACAGCTGCTAACTCCGTGCCTAACTCTTCTTCAACAGCCTTATCCTTTACATTTTCCTGTTCATAACGAGAAGACAACATTTACTTCCCTTTTATTTAAAGCTATCCTAAGATAACAGAGAAGGTTAATCCAAAAAAAAAAAATATATTAACAATGTATGTAACTAAGCTCCACAAATGAAGATTCTGTTTTGAACTTAGCATGCACAATATTAGAAAACAAGCAAACACCATAGTAAGAAAGTGCAGAGGAACAGAAAAGTTACATACATCCACTAGAGACGTTGCATCTTCTGAGACAGCTACGGTGACGTTTCCTGTCTCGGTCGGGTCAGCATTAATCGAACTGCACAAGTTTAGTTATGCAAGTTTAGCTATGCTTTGAAGTTACATTCATTGTACAAAAAGTTTTTCTTTTGTTTCAATAAACTTTTAACATTCTTTCAAAAAAAAAAAAAAAAGGTTTGGTGGTTTTACCTAGAAGAGCTCCCGGTTTCACCTCTTTCCGAAGCTTGAACCTGCGTTGTTTTTTTCCCTTTCGCGAGATAGGAGAAGGCTTCGTTAACATCCCAATTGCTGAGAGTAAGGTAAAAGATTGCAGAGTCTCGAGTAACTTTTCCACCAGCCCCCTCGAGGAAGAAATCGATGATATGATCATGCTCCAGCGAATTCAGCAGCTTATTCAAACTCGTACCTTCCCTAGTATGTGGAGGACTTGAACTTTCCTGAATCTGGAGGTAGAAATGCATCACACATTGAGTTTTATTCTCTTCAACACAAAAAACAGAGAAAGGGCAACTAAAAAAAAGTCCTTCCATAAATAATTATCATTCTTGATTCCGAGGTTATGTTTTGAGTTTTAGCTTTTATCAAACAAAGATAACTTACCTTCACGTGAGCTTTAGCCATCCCAGGATTAGCCACTGTGACGTCTCCTTCACCACCCTTTTCAAGTGAGCTTTCTGTCTCCATGGGGCCACTTGAAGCATCAAGCTGTGATTGTGTTCCCATCGATGGAAGAGGCGGGTCTTTGTTCTCCGTCAAACTAAAACTCAACGCAGATATTAGTTCCGCCGAGTACCCATTTTCTTTGTAAAATTCGACGGCTTGGTTTACATTCCACTTGAAGTGTTCAAGGTTAGCTATTGCATCTTCTCTACTCGCTCCAGTCATCTTTACGAATGTACCGATGTGTTCTTCATTTACTTCACCAGATTCCTCTTCCTTGAGCGGCAAGGTTTCTGTGGGATTTCCACTCTCCTAGTTGTTTTAAATCAACATTGAGTTCCACTAACAGAGAAAGGTAACTCAAAGAAAGACTATCAGCAAATTTTGAGTTAAATTCTTCATTGCGAGGTTATGTTTAACAAACACAAAAACTTGAAAAAACAGCAAAGACAGTAGTTTATTTAGTGCAGAGAAAGAGACGATTACTACCTCAACTTGAGATGACGTCACTAGAGTTTTAGCTTCAGGAATACGTTGGGGTGACTCTGTGCTTGAATCTTTGTCAACAACCCTACCACTAAAATTTTTCTGTTCATTTAAAGACAAAACAAAACACATTAGAAGACAAAAGCAAGTAGTAAGTGGTGGAGAGAAAGAGATGGTTACATACAACCACTTGAGCCGTGGCAATCCCAGGACGAGATTTACTGTAATCTCCATAGAAATAGCCGACGGCGTCTTCTACATTCCCCTTGCGTTTGTTGAGGCAATATATTGCGTCTTGTGACGTGGCTTCAGAAAGAATCTCGAGGAATTTATTGATACTTTCCTCTTTCAGTTCAAGCGGCGGCGGCGGCGTACTGCACAAGTAAAGCATGTTAACGCTAAATCCTAAAGCAAAGAACACCAAAAGTTACGCTACAACCCTGAGTCAGAACACAAAGACAGGCTAAAACCCTAAAGAAAGAACACAGAGATACCCTAAACCAAGAACACAAATATATGCAACACCTAAATCAAGAAGACTACTACTATACACTAAAACCCTAAATCAAGAACACAAATATATATTCAACCCTAAATCAAGAACACAAATATACGCTAAACCTTAAATCAAGAAGATTACTATACACTAAACCCTAAATCAAGAAGATTACTATAACACTAAACCCTAAACCCAAAAACACAAAGACAACGCTAAACCCTAAATCAAGAAGCCTACTATACACGATAAGCCCTAAACCAATAACACAAAGCTATGCTAAACCCTAGATCAAGAAGCCAAAGATATAAGCTAAACCCTATCTAGATCAAGAACAGAAAGACACGTTAAAACCGTAAATCAAGAAATGATGATAACCTAGCAGAAGGAGGAGTGCTCCTGATTCTGAGATCCATGGAGGCATTATGAAACGTCGGCACTTTACTCAAAACGTCCTGCATCACATCCGATCCCCATCCTTCCGGATACCACGTCTCAGTATTACCGTCGTGCGATGCCGTCGGATTCTTCGACTTCTTCTCACTATCATCATAGAAAGTGCTCCCGGCATGCTGTAGATTCCAGTTGCTGTCGCTGAGGTACTTTACCGCGTCCTCCGCAGACGATCCAGGAGCGATTGCTAAGAACTGCGCGATCAGCTCGTTTCTACTGCCTTCCCCCGCCGCGGCTCTCTCGTTTCTACTGCGTTCCTCCGCCGCGGCTCTCTCGTTTCTACTGCGTTCCTCTGCGGTGGATCTCTCGTTCTTAGTCGGAGGTAAGGTTTTGCTGCGGCAAGCCTCCAACGCTGCGTTTAGATCCCATCCGAAGCCTTCGAGGTAGAAGAGCGCTTCTTCTTTGCAGACTCCAAGTTCGTCGCAGATTTGTTTCAACGGATCAGCCATCGTCGCAGATTTGGGCGGGTGAAATCTTTGCGAAGAAGAAGAGGAGAGGAGGGATACTGTTTTCTTGCTGAAACAACGTTGTTTTATAGTGGCAGGTGCAGGGGTATAATGGTAAGTAGAAAAACGGGCGCGAAGAAGAGTTCGTTATAACTTCCAACGAATATAACCGATATTGTGATACAAAACATATTAAAATCACTATTGATATCATTAGATTTAATCTTTTACTATCTATTCAAAAGTTTCAATTTTTTATTATTATATATTTGTATGATACAGTCTTATTTTACACAAACTAAACAGACATAACAAAATATTCATTTTGGTAATTTTTTTCTATTAAGCTTTTGTTTCAAAAAAATAAATAAATAGTTTTTATTTCATTAAGTTCAGTGGATTTGTCGAACAATTCTCTTAATGTTTTTGAATGTTCGGTGGAAGTTTTGGTAAATTTATCTGTGCAGATATTAATATTGGCTTCAAACAGTTTCAAAGGAGCACTACCTAATCTGCCACTCTCTATTGTATCTTTGTCTGCGTGGGGAAATAGTATCACAGTGAACATAAAATAAAAAGACCGTCAAGAGATAAAGAATATTAAAAATGGCTCAAAAAAGGAAGATTCTGTTTTGAGCATAAAAGCATTTAGCTAGCACGAAATGAGAAAACAAGCAAATACCAAAAGCTAAGGGGAGTACATCTGGCGTAGAGTTGTCGAGCCACGAGAACCAGAAGTAATTCTGTGCACAGTTGTATCCAAGTCCCTGTACTCTACTCCAGTGTCAGACTTTAAGTAGTAGTCTCTCTTGTCTTCTGGTCTAAACCAAGCAATCCTTTTCCGGATGTCTCTGACGGTTTGGTCTGATCTAAAGAGCATCCATACATGTTGCCAAGATTTACCAAAGTCCAAAATGGTTTGTAGTTCTATTTTAGCACTAGTAATAGGAACAGCGGGTAACTCTTCTTCAACATCCTCATTCTTTACATTTTCCTGCTCATATAACCAGAAAATTAATTTATTTATAATACTCAGAAGGTAAAAAGGTGAAACTCAAAACAACATTTAGTTAATTCCCTTATTTTTAAGCTATCCTAAGAAAACAGAGAAGGTTAATCCAAAGAAAAAAAAAAGACCATCAAGAGATAAAAGAATATTAACAATGTATGTAACTAAGCTCCACAGAGGAAGATTCTCTTTTGAATTTAAAAACCTTTTAGCATGAATAAAATGAGAAAACAAGCAATACTATATTAAGAAAGTAGAAGGTTACATACATCCACTTGAGACGATGCATCTTCAGGAACAACCGCAACGGCAAGACGATGAGCCTCCGCAACTGTCAAAGGGTGAAACTGTGACATTGCATTCCGCAGTTGAGGTCGTAATCCTCCTATGAACCGCGACACCAGTTCCACCTCAATGTTTAAGATATCTTGAGTAAGAAGCAACGAAAATTCCTCCGCGTATTCATCTACGGATCGAGATCCTTGCCGCAAATTTTGTAGTCTTGGGAACATAGTAGAGTTACCATCAGCTTCGGTAGATCCATCCTCGGAAGGTTGTCTCCTACGATGCACTGATTCGGCTAGCTCACGGATAGAGTTATGGATTGTAACTTGAATATTTTGTTGCATAGCTAGCAGAGTTCTCCTCAACTCTGCCCACTCATTCATTGGTTGATCCGTTGTAGCTTGGTTTGTGCGCCTTGGAGGAGTCATTTAATGAATTTGTAAAACGTTCGAATGTGAAAAAAAATATAAAAAATTCGGCCGGAACGTGCTTGCTCTGATATCTAAGAAGATGAACTTAAAAGCTCTTGATAATATGCAGATTCATATATATTTTAGACTACGACCTAAGCTTATCAACTAACGATAAGGATTATCTCTAATATGAACCCTTTTTTTTGGGATCAAAGGATTATCTCTTTTTTTTTTTTCTTTCTTTTTTTCTTTTTGTAACACATCAAAGGATTATCTCTATATTAAGTTATTAACTAAAGCCAAAATAATAAAAGTATCAGTGTATTACTGATCCTTTTATAATTTGGTTTGGTTTGGTTTGGTTTACTAAACCAAGTTCTCAACATTCATTTCAAGATGCGCTGGCTGCATCAAACAGCTCTTGTCTCGGTCGGGTCAGCATTATTACTCGAACTGCACAAGTTTAGCGATCCTGAATATATCTCTATACTAGGTGATTTTCCCGTGCTCATGCACGGGTATAAATATTTATTAAGTAAATATACTATAATAATTGATTACTATTTACATTTAATTTTCAATTAATTTATAATTTACATACATGATTTATATTAATAATATTATTTTCCTTTAATTAGACATATTATTTTAGAAATATTATATCTAGTTAATTTTATTATTTTATAGTCGATTTTACTGTTATTATTTGGGTATATTAGATTACATTATTTTATCTGAATTCAACTATAATATTTTTTATTCTAAATATATTAAATTTTGATTAATTCTATTATTTACTTTTAGGTTGTTTGCTGTCTCAGATGTCAATATATTTTCGAAAAGTTATTTATAACTTAAGATATATTATGCCTATAATGAAATATAAAAATAATTTTGATTTCAAATTACATCAATCGATATAAAGATAATCTTTGAAGTCTCATGCATATATATAAATTTCACAAAATAAATCAAATTAAAGTAATATTATTTATCATTTAAATGTGCACGTATTTTCATAATATTTATCAAGTTATATGTTTCTTTAAAATATAGTAGAAAATGAAGCAATAATCAGTAGGAAGTTACATACTTAAGTAACTCATATATTTCTGGAGATTCATGAACACATATCAATATATACAATAACTAAAATATTTTATAAATTCTAAATAATTTTATATCTTAGATTTATTGAATGATAAACTGAAATTATTTTAAATAATCTTAAAAATGAGAATTCGGATTTGCTTTGGTATTTTTATCATGGTTATATTAAGTTACACAAACATAAAATGTTTTAAAAAAATTTGAAATTAAGAAACATATAATTTAAATAATGATAGAATATAAAAAACCTATGTCATTAAAGTATATAGTGGTATGATTTAAAAAATATTTTGTAATTATTTGATTAAAAGATGTTTATTGTTAAAAATTATTTTAATTTCTCTTAAAAATTGTGGTTGTATTTGAGAAATCATATTATATAAGTAAAATTTAATTTATAGATATTTTTTTTGCTTTAGTTGAAAGATACTATAGTCAACTAAATATATGAAAATAAATAAAATATTCAATAATTTTAATTAAAAACTATTTTAGTTAATAAAAACATATACTTGTTTATGTTACTTAAAATTATGTTTAAAAGTAATTTTTTTTTAAATATCAAAAATTATATGTATGAATTTTTTGTTATGAAATCACATTATATAAAAATATATATTTTCATATAAGAAAATACAGATATAAAGAAAGTATTTTATTAATTAAAAAGTACATTTTATGTTATTTAAAATATTTTTAATGGATGTTACTATTTTGTTAATTTTCCCTTTTAATGAAATCATATTATATAAACATATATTTT